ATATGTGCAACTGCAAATGTTCAATACTGATTTTGCAAATCAGTGAGCCTCCGTGGAAAAGGCAAGGTTGCGTAGTTGGGCAATAGCTGAATCTTGGCAGCAGCAGGAGGATTAATTGAATTGACCAAGCAATTGCACACCAGAAGCAGCAGCCAACTTTATTTCTGATCTTATGGGAGGGCATTGCTGTCATTGCAATAACAAATGTAGTATGCTTGTCATGAATGCCCTTCCCAAACTGCGTTCATCAATTAAGATAAGTAGCTGTTTTTTTCCAGCGATCTACATCGCTCATACGAAAAAGATCCCACGAAGGGGACTGAAGGTCCCAAAACATTGAGAATATATTTATAATTTCACATTTAACCCTATTTGAGTTTGGGGTGTAGATCTCTTCTTCAGCCAACTGTGCTTATTTGCTTTTACTCAACACAGCCCTGCTTTGAGTTTTCCAGAGCTGCAAAAAGTTAAGGCTGAGCTCAAATGCACCTCTTATAATCGTCTCAGGGTGGAATCAGCTCAGAGGCTAAAAGGTTTAATTTGGGACCTATCTCTGTGTGAGCTACACAGCTCTGTGCCTACTGTGGTTGAGTTTCCTCAATGCATATTCAGCACACTCAGTAGAGAAGGACTTAGCTTAAAATGGACACATTTCTGTTGTTCAGCTTAACAGCTCTCTAGACTCTGCTGACTGTGAATTGTTGACTGAATCTCCCCTGACCTCCATGAGAGTCCAAAATTTAGGTTGCAACCTAAATTTAGGTTCCCACAGCAGCATTTGCCTTTACCTGCAAGCTGAATCGCACTCCCAGGGTCTTCAAAAGGCAGTGAGATCTGTGCTCTTCTCTAGAGGCAGCATTCAAAGCTTTTCCCTTACTTTTGTGACCACCATTTTGCATGCATAAGAATTACTATACAATGGGTATGTCGATCATTACAGGATTTGCTTGCAATGAAAAGCTCTTTGAACAATTACAGGAAGTTCTGCAGCTAACAATATTGTCATTTGAGGCAGTTATCATTAGCTTTTGAATTGAATGCCACAAAAACGCATGGGGATGGTTTATACCTTAACTGAACATTATAATTTGAGTCTCAAAAGTACAACAGTGCGTTGTTGACATTTTCAATATTAACATTTCAGCGAGAAGCATTTAGAAACTTCTTGGGATAGCTTTTGAATTTTTAAAAGTTCAATTTCATTTAAACACTGCAAAATTGATTAACAGTTCTTGCAAAATTCTTCGAAGAAGAAAGGGGTTATATAAACGCTAAGCATTATTATTGTTGTTAAAACACACAARATCTGTCAGAAGGCCATAAATCCTGATTTGAACTTTCAGACACATGCCTATTTATTGTGCCATGTCCTAAATGCACATAATTCAGCAAGAACAGGTTAATACACATACCTAAACTGAGAAAATGAAGGACTGTGATCTAACATTTCTGCAGATATTGAATTTAAATAGCAGGAACATTGCTGACTAGGGCTGAAGTACAGCGCAAATTCCACATTCTCATCTGTTGTGCACTGTGTGTTTACATAATTATTTTCCTCTTTTCCACAATATTTGTCACTAGTATTTCCCATATGTATACTTAATACATCTATCAGCATGTGCTGATAGATGAGTTAGGCAATATACACACTCACACACAAAAGCAGAGGGTATAAATTAAAAAAAAAAAAAGCATTAGGTTCAAGTTCCCTCTATATAAATATATTCAGAGTTAAAACCTATCATAATTGCAGAAGTAACAGTGTAATGTTCAGCTGATGATAGTTTTTTACTCTTTTCAAGAATAAATTTAAGTAATTTTTCTTTATTATTTGGTTCCTCTAAGCTTGGAGACATAATTTTTAAATATAGTATGTCCTTAAGAAGGGAAAAGCAAAGCTGCATTTAAACAGTATTCTAAAAAGTGTTAAGTAATCATTATGACTGTATTTTTCTCTTGTGAAAGTGATAGGACTTGCACAGTGGTTTAACAGAAAAAAATAATTAAGAGAACAAAATCAAAGCATTTTGATTGTCAGTATAATTGGATATATTATAAGTTCTACCTAAGGATTAAGCRTTACTTACTGTAAATGGTAACTTAGTACTTTAGTTAGAATTAACAGGAAAGCTTTATAATGACTTTTTCAGACTGATTTTTAATACTATACATGTGTATAACRTGTTGTATTAACAATGATAGAAAATTTTCTAAAAATTTTCCTAGGGGATATGAACATTATTATTTGCATAACACTTCAATAATCAGTTCTCTCCCACTTGAATAAGGATCGTTATTCTTTGTTAAACCATGCGTGGGAAAAACTTAATGTTCTTGCTGCAAACTGAGCTATTTAAAAGTTCAAAAGTATTAAATAGCCCATAAGCAGATCCATGACAAAAGTTGGTTAATGTGAAACTGGAGGCACTCGTGTCCATGGATGTAGCAATTTTATGATATTTGTGGTCAGATGTTAGATAAATTAATCGGCATATCTCATGGCAGTCATTAAAGCCATAAGACCAGTATCACTGGCTAGGTAATTATTATAGCCACTATCGATGAGGTTTTCTTGTTTGAAAGGCTTATTCTATGTGTTACTGCTATACAGACAGCYGTCTTGCCCTAAAGTTTTGATATACTCCAGTGCATGAAATTTTATTTTCTCATATTGGTGCCAGCCAGTCTTCCTGTACTTGATGATATATTGCCMATTGAAGCTAAAATTAAATGCCAGAATTTGCCAAAATCTAAGAAATTTCTGATTTCTTCAGCTTTTTCCATTCAGAAGAGAAATATCACTAGGTAAACATATTCCTCCACAAGTAATTAATACAGTACTGCGGATTGGAAATGAAATATGTCAAGGTGAAACAAAAAAGAGCAGATGATTTTCAAGCCTTTTTTCCTTCCTCATAAATATCTTCAAAACGATTAAAACTGTTTGAATTGCTTTTTGTGCAGCTTTCCTTAGGAAAAAAAAAAACAGGCATGCAGAAACACAGTTTAAAATTGAAATGATTTTGTATTTCAAACTCTGGGCCCTTCGTCAGTTTAAGGTAGAACAAGAAAAAGCAAAAAGCCTCTTCCAGGTTTAGGTCTCTGTAATTGCAGAGCAGCCTGCTGCTAGCTGAGTACATTTAGAGTTTGCTTGTCCCTTTTTCCTCTGAAAATAAAAAGCAAGCAGTAAAGAAAATAATTAGTTAATAGCACACTTTGCAAAACTGATTTCAAAAATACTTGTGGGTTTAAATAATGTTTTCTGAACTGGAACACTTGTACTTGCATTTTATTTCACTGTGGCGAAGTGAGAGTGGGAGCTGCCACAGGAAGAAGAATGAGCCAGAGACAGGGCATAATTCAGGCCATGTAAATGAATCACCAAACCTTAGACGTGATGGCACCAGCTGTTGAAGGGAGTTCAGCTGGTCGGTTTTATCTTGTAGTCAGTATCCTTGGTTAGAACTACTGGGATTTTTGAGGAAAATGTATTTGCCCATCCATCTCCTGCTCCCTGCTTTGTTCCCAGGAGCTTTGTTAGCACAGAAAGGACAGTTTCCACGGGGCTCAGTSTGCAGATGAAGACACTCGTATTCAGATGTGCACATATGAGCTGGGGGCTGATTCTGTGGTGTAAGCGCCGTCACCTTGTGCTGCTCGAGGTGCAGCAGCCCCGCCAGGCACAGGAGCAGCGGATCCGGCGCTGGGCTCCCACAAGGTCCCCTGCGGTGCCCCGGGCTGAGCAGCTGGACCGGGCCTGGGGTATCTGAGCCCCCAGGGGAGATCCAATAACAGCATCAAAAATGCCAGTAGAGCTCGTGCTTTTTCCAGCTTATTTTCAAGAGTCGGAGGCTTTGAGGGGGAGCACATTTTCCTATTGGGAGGGAGGAGACAGCCCAGCACTTCATTTTACAGCGATGACAGGGTACTAAATTGGTCTGGGCATTATTGTTTTTCTTTCTTTCTTTCTTTCTTTCTTTCTTTCTTTCTTTCTTTCTTTCTTTCTTTCTTTCTTTCTTTCTTTCTTTCTTTCTTTTTTTTTTTTTGTTTTGTTTTGTTTTGTTTTTTCAGTTCACTCTGCATGTGTGTGATAGGCCAGGTTTTCTAAAATGCCAAGAAAACTTTGAAACCTACTTCAAATTCTAGTCTGTCTGTTTTGGAAAGTACACTCTGTGCTCAGTTTGTGTTTGTTAGGTTCCTAAATGTCATCTATTTTTACCCCTCTCTTTTTATTATACAGCTAAACAAGTGCATCTGGATTAAAAAAAATCTTTCCTTTGTAACTTTAACATGTTGATACTTTCTGAGAAGTAAATGCCTGCTTTGGAGAGCTGTCTTATTCAGTTTGTTTTCACTGTATACAAATAATAAAAGAAAAAATTGCAGTTTACTCTGTGCACAAATGCATGSATGTATGTGTGTGTGTGTGTGTGTGTGTTTAGCCTTATGGAATTGTTGAATTGCAAAATAAGTATGACTTTAGTAGTGTTGGAGCAAACAAATACTTTGAGGATGATTTATGAATTTCAAGAGATATTAAAAGCATAAAACATGGTTATGAGAGTATGATATGATATGATATGATATGATATGATATGATATGATATGAATGGTGTCTGGCCACTGGAATCAGAAAGGCCGCATAAAGTCACAGACATCACGAGATGCATAAAGCCACAGGTAAACAAGCAAGGCACTGACAACTATAGCAAGGCATTATTTAAATTACTGATGTAAAAGCAGACTGTGGATGATGAGATGCTTCCTTAAAGACACTGTTGATTATAGGGGGAGCATTGCTTAGGTCTAGACTTCGATAAACATAGTAAACCTGAGACTCTGTGGAGAACTCAAATGGAAAACATGCCATTCATTTAATTAGAATGAACTGCATAAAGTTTCTGCTAGCTGGTGAGAAACACTGTTTTAGGGAGCATGAAACAGTGCTCTCGTGATAGAAAAATAAATAGTTTCAGCCTTCTTTTTTAATTTTTCAGAATTCAAGCAAAAACGCGAGAATTTCGAGAGAGACAAGCTCGTGAACGTGACTATGCCGAGATTCAGGATTTTAACCGGACGTTTGGCTGCGACGCGGACCCCATGTATGCTGGAATTGCTTCCTATGACTCTTCTTCGAGCAGTGGCACCATAACCCTGGGCGGCCGAGCGCAGAGCCCCCGCGAGGGCCAGACCGTGGAAGCGCTGTACGCGCAAGTGAAGAAGCCGCGCAGCGCGAAGGCGTCACCTGTAGACAGGTAGGCACCGGGCATCGTCAATACTTTGCTTCCAAATCCGTCGCTGTAATGCTCTTTGTCATGGGAGATGACTGTGCAGCGGTTGGAAAGTCAGATCTGCATTTTTATTAATGGCTTTTTAAAAGCCTTTATGTAGAAAGGTATTGAGCTCACATGAGTCAAACTGTAACAGGATGAGATATGAGGGTTTTTTTTTTCCCTCTCTGAAGAGCTCCTGCTTTTCTTCTCATTCTTTGAAAGGGTTTTGAATTTTAGAGTTGCTATTTGATAGAATGCAAATTAAATTCTAACTTGGACATCAGCTAGTTTATTAATCAGAGCTGAAGTTAATGTGGCTGTGGAATACAACATTTCTAAGCTATTCACAACAGTTACAAAATCTGTAAAGTTCTTACAGTTGAACCAGAAGTGAGCTAAAGCTTACCTGGATTCTAATCCTACCTACTGCAGTCCCAAACGTCAGCCTAACATTTGAATTTTTGGGGATAAAATATAGATCGAGTGAGCTCCAAGTCTGATTTATGAATTGTTTTCTCTTYTTGGGCCGTAGCTAATGATTTCTACATTTCCTGTGGCTACAGAATCCAAAGTATTTGATGTTTGGTTTTATGCTAAAATCAGGCAAAATTATGGTCCCTCTTGATTAAATGTAAAGCTAAAATTGGAATGAAGACTTTGTACATTAGCAGTGAAAATATATYGCTCTTATTCACTTACATATATGATGTTGTATTTCTGCCTTTTCTCAGCTGTACAAAAACTAATACAGTAATTCCAGTATAGGAGGCATTGTTAATTTATTCAGAGGYCATTGATTTAGTAAAATCCCTTGAATGTTTTGTTTGCTATCCCATTCTTAGCAGAARATAAATACTGCACTTTCCCCCAAATCAACAAAATAGTGTCTTTGCTTTCAATGCATCTCCACATGAGTCCATATTGATCTTGCATATTCAATTTTAGGTCCTAACAGAGTCATCTGGCATTTGCTCTTAAAGACGGTAGCTGTCATGCAGAGTTCAGCTAATTGTCTAAAGCTATTTTTGATTGAGACTGAAAGTTGTGTATTTAACCCTCTGCAAGATCTATTTTAAAAACTTATTTTCCTGAGCAGCACATAGTGTTGTAAACAAAGTATCATCTAATATGACAAAAAATGACATTTCAGATGCATTTACTGTAAATTCTTACTAAAAATGCACAACTGCCTTTTTTATGTTGTCAGTCCTATTATTCTACTGTATCGTACTGTGTGAAAGGTCTTTTCATATTAAATGTACATGATTTATTTACTATGGATATGGCCATATGCCTGAGTACTTGAAATCTCAGCACTTCTGTGACTTGGGAAAGGAAGGCAGCTCAGCTGGTTAATATGGCCACCACGTTGCGACTCCCACGGCTGTTTTTGTTAGACCAAAGGTAGCGTTTCATGCCTGAATTGAATGGCATCAATGTCATATCAACAACAAAAAAGTTTCTTTGATGCAAACCTGGCACGGCGAAGTGGAAGACCTGCATGACCCAGCTAACTCTGTGTGATGGCTGATGAAAGAGCCTGGAGAGAGCGAGTGAAAAAGTGAAGTTATAGCTGGAGCACTCAGGGAATACGATGTTAATCGTAAGGGTAGGATAGAAAAGCAAGATGGTAGTTTTGCACTTTCAGGCCATTCTGCAAAAGTGCAGAGGAACAGTGGGCTCCATCTCACAGAGGTGGATCCTGCTGTGACAAAAGGGTCTTCACCTGGCTCGCACTACAGGCTAGCAGCAAGTTGGAAAAAAAGAAAAATGCAAGTCAGGGACAAGACCTGGAGCTAGAAAAACCTCCCTGAGTTTAGTGGTGAAGGAATGATATGGGACATGCAGCAAGAAATATCTGGGGAAAGAAAAGATAATTAAAATGAAAGCGCGTGGGATAGTCTTTGCTCTCTGCTAATACATTTATCTGACTCCAGAGCTGGTGAATCCCACCTGATGCTGGGAGACATTTTTGTGAATGTTGCAGTAACTGGCACAGTCAGAGGTTCATCAGCCTGTCTGTGAGAAGCTGGGTCAGTACCTCAGGGCCAGAAAACGTGGTGGTTGCCAGGAGCCTTTGCTGCTCCTTAGGCCCGGAGGGAGATACCTCAGCCTCGGAGGGAACAGCTTTTTCCTTCTTTTTAATGTTTTTTTAAAGCACATCTTGACCCCAGGCAATATTTACCCTGGCTCGTGGCTGACATATCTTGCCAAGGCCACTCTATGCTTTTCAGACTTTATTTTAGTTGCATCAAAAAAGACGGTGTCATCTGAGCACTGTAGCTCTGTCCATTTGGGCCTGCGGCGCTGACGCCTGATCTGTGTCTGCCCATGTGCCCAGTGCCTGTCCCTGCGCTCTGTGGGTCTCTCAAGGTCACCTCTCCAGCAGCAGGTCACCTCATCTCTTCCCATAGCATCTTCTTTGAAGGCCTTTGCCCACTGCTGAGGGCCCCTTCGTAGCCTTATTCTCCACGGAGCGCTCCCCTCTGCTGTAAAATTTAGCCTGATAACACTCCGAGAAACGTGATGAGAAATAGTTGCTTATTGCTCTGCATCTTTAAAAATATTATTTYTATTAGCATTCACCTATGGTGAGGATAATTTTCACTTGGCACCTTTGCTCTTGGTCCTACCAGCCCTTCTTCTCCCCTGGAATTTTCAGAGGTTCCCTGAAGGGAGAGGTCGTTTCCCATCCTTGTGGATGGTGGAGGGAAGAGGGAACAGCCCGTTACCCTCGGAGTGACCTGCCAGGAGCTGGTAATGGCCAGTCTGTCTCAAATCTTTAGCACTCTCATATTAAAAGCAGCATTGTTTATATGAGAAATGTTATTTCTATTACAGTTCTGTGCCTGGTGCCAAAGAAAATTTGACATTTAAATATGTCTAAAAGGTTATTTAAAAGTCTCATACAAAGAAGCCTATAACAACATGTCCCTTAATAGTTTGCATGCCATTGTTGAACACTTATGACAGAATTCTCTTTAACTTGCAACAGAATTATTGCATCTGTGCATAAGGCCTTGACAGGGTTTGTTTTTCTTTATTATTCCTTAAATTTCTTTTTTATTTTCATTAGCATGTGCCACTAACTAATGCAAGTTTAACTGTATCATGGAATATGAATGATAACGAAGTGGAGGACAAATAATGTAAACAGCTCATCAGAATAGTGGACAAAATGTTTTCTGTTCAAGTTTAAAGATATTTTAAGGAGAAATATTGAGGTGCYTTGTCAAATGATGGAACCATGAAGTTCTCAGTCACAGGTCCCCTGGTTATTTTATAACCTCACTTGAACACTATGTTAAGCCTGTTTTTTATTTCTCCTTCATGGGCATATTTTATGTTTGTATGTATTCCAAGCACTGAGGTTATAGGTAGATTTTCCAGCACAACAAAAGGACAAAGAAAATGTTTGTTCTTTAAACAGTTTGTCCATTCATTTCTCCAGATTAGAAAATGTATTGTCTAATGCCAAAAGAGAACAAAGGAGAAAGAGATGTTAACTTATCTGTTGGAAATATAAACTTTTGTCTGTGTGAAAGTAGCATTGCTTTATCTGTCATACCACCTATGGCTATAAGAGTTTTGATGAAAAAGGAAAAAAGCTACTACAGGACTTGCACACTGCAGGAAAAATACAGCAGGACTTACAGGATTTGGAGCTGGTTAAGAATTGCTTTGAAGACAGATTTATATGATCAGAGTTAAAGACAACATTGATGGATATTGGTAGTTTTTCTTTAAAAAGAAAAACTGYGACAGTATTGTTCTCCATTAACTCAAATATGTAGGTCAAATATGAGAGGTTCTTTATTTTGAGCTCCTTATGTAATGCATGCATACATGTAGATCATGTGAATCTTGAAACACATTTTAAATCCTAGTAACACTAATTCTCTCTAGCAGTACTAAAAAACTGTTTGCTGATCTTGATCCTAAAGAATTAAGGTAGATTCTTTTTAGTAACAGAGGAGTTTTCTGCTCAGAGGAAATGAAAGTCTAGTAATAAATAAATGTTTGGAGTGATTAGTGATCAGCATAGATTTCATATACCTCAGCTATCAGTTCTTCCCTCCTATGTGCTACTAGTTTGCAGAGCTAGGCTACTAGGAACATTTTTCATGGTCCAACTTTTTAAGAGAGAGAAATTTAGGTGAAATGTATAATCTATGTTTATTTTACTGTTCTGGAAATAAGTGTCTTGAGAATTGTGCTCTTGTGGATAAAGCTTTTAGTTTAGCTRCAAAATGTCTCTAATATGTTTTGCATCATACAGAAAAGCTGCACTACTGATCAATAATGTTTTTCATATAGATGACAACGATGCTATACAGGAGGGTTTTATAAGTGATCACCTGACATCCATAGTTGAGCAGCATGTAGAAAGACAACTCCTAATGGACGTTTACTGGCTGTCTCTGTGTAATCATTTCCCACCAAGAGTGCATTGTCCTGAAATATAATTGAAATAAAATAGGCACTGTGCTGCTGTAAATCTAAATAGCTTGAAAATAGTAGGCTAGACTCCCCTGGCTTGCCGAGGACATTTTAATGGAAACGTAAATACCATAATCATATGCTTTTTGCATGCATTTTGCCATTAAAAAGAAAAAAATGTTCATTTTAGAAAAGGAGACCTTTATGAACCAGTTTCTTTTTTATCAGAAGTGGAATCAAGTCATCAAAGGAATATTTGGGAACTGAAAATAACCCCAGTTGCTTAAACTGTCATCTGCATGGTGGTAGGAGGCAAAATGMTGCTTTTAAAGCCACACTGCATATTTTGTATCCTGATCTTCCAAAAAGAAAGAGAGAATATTTTATTCAGATGTTAACTTTTATTTGCTGAGTAGTATCTTTTTGTTTAAATTGAAATGGGAGTGATGAATCCTGGAAGGTGGAAAGAGACATAATACGATAGAGGAATACATAAAGCCTGAAGTAAGTAGACCCTGTCTTTCTAGCGTGTATAAAATAAC